GGTGGTCACACTGTAGATCCAAGCAGGGTGGGTGGGGTGGTCACACTGTAGATCCAAGCCTTCTCCATGACAGCATCCACAGCGTGGAATGATCTCCAAGTGTTTTCCATCACTTGGGAGACGTATTTGATTGCCTAGGCATTTTAATTTGTTTTACCTTCTTTTTATCCGCCCAGGCAGGGACTCAAATCAGTTACCCCATGTAAGGCAACGGAAACATTTTGATTGCTTCATTTTATTGTTTCTAATCAAAAACCTCTATGGTCTCTTTGCAGTGTTCCAGCTCAGAACAGCTAACGGTGATTAAAAGGCAATAAGAGTCAACAAAATGTTTTAAAATAGAATAGGGGTGTCCTTAATATAACTACAACATTACATTAAACTCAGGAGGTAGACAGGAAGGAAAGGAATTACTGTACTTCATTCTGTTTTATTATATTGTTTTAGAATTTGACTACTTTGGGATTTTTCAAATAAAAAAGGTACACAAATACTTTCATGAAACAAACAAACCTGATTGTGCTGAGAAAGTAAATGACTAGGCCAAGGTCATGCAGGATTTTTCAACTCTCCAGAATGTGTGTCTCTGTAGACTTGATCTCAGGTATTCCTTACCTTGGGGAAGCATATTTCTGAATAAACATGCATAGAATAGACAATAAGCCATTTTATTAACATTGGACACAATATTAGTTGTATTTGGTCCCTTCAAACTGAAGAATATTTAACCAGTTTTAACGTACTTAAGATATTTGGGGCACTGCCTCCTCCCTTAGGTCCTATAAATATCTTTCAAGACCTGCTAAGGGCATGCTTCCAGAAATACACCTGCCACATCAAGTTAATAATTATGCAGATGCCAATTCACATTGTTGCCTTGCAGCTGCTTCAAAATACTGCCTCTCTCCATAGGCTGGAAATAAATTTTCCCAAAATGTCACTGTTACTGAGACTGGTATCTTTTTTTATTTTGGAATTAACACTGGGTAGGAGGGAGATGCTGGACAATTCCTACTGTAAGCTTCAAGGTGATGGTTCTCACCAGATCGTTAATTATCAATGGCTTATATACTGTATTATGGATCTAAGAAGCCCTTCTATGTAGTGCAGCATCCTTCTTCCCAGAGGGGCCAGCCCCTTACCGCCGAGAAGCCCACATGCAGCCCACCACGGCTCTTCCTGCTGTACTCAAAAGCCATCATCTTGTGCTTCTGCAAATTAAGCCCGAACTTTCTCTGGAGGCAAAAACAACAAAACTGAAGCTGTCCTGCCTACATCATGAGAAGGCAGGATTCTCTGGAAAAGACAACACTGTCACATTGGATAGGGTGGATCACAGGAGGAAGAGAAGTCCAAATACAAGATGGATTGACTCGAGAAGCCACAGCCTTGAGTTGAGCTGTGATGTTGAGGAGAGGACATTTTGGAGACCCCTCCTTCATAGCGTTGAAGGGATGTGTCAACAACAATTCAACCCTGAGTGCTCACTGGAAGGACAGATCCTGAAGCTGAGGCTCCAATACTTTGGCCATTTCATGAGAAGACTCCCCGGAAAAGCCCCTGATGTTGTGAAAGGGTGAAGGCAAGAGGATAAGGGGACGACAGAGGATGAGATGGTTGGACAGTGTCATCGAAGCGACCAACATGAATTTGACCCAACTCTGGGAGGCAGTGGAAGGCAGGAGGGCCTGGCATGCTCTGGTCCGTGGGGTCACAAAGAGTCAGAAACGACTTAACAACTAAACAACAACGGTTCGAGTTATGATCTCAGGTCTGAAGAGCCCTTCTTTTTTTCATCACCTATGATCTCAGTCCTATAGTATAAGGCAAACAAGGCTTCTAGGAATCTAAATTTGGCATTGGTGCCTGCTGATATAATTCTTGCAGAATGGAAATGGGGGAAAAAGCCAACATAATTTGTGTGAGCCTAGCCAGGAAAGCATAAAGTAAATTGAAGTGCAAAAACCCTCAGGAGGAACATATTGATGGAAAATATTTTTAATTATGATTAATGTGTTTTATAGGACTTTTTTAAAGAGACTAAGGAAATTGCATGTGAAGCCAAAAAATTATCAGAATTACAGATCTTGGCTTGATACCCACTCCATTTTGCTTACTGTATATAATTTATCCTGTTTCACTATCTTGTTGTACACAAATCACTCCCATTTTAACAAAAATGATGAGTAAGAGCCTTTTAAAATTCCGATGCTGAGCCACAGAATAGGAATATTCCAAAACAATGAAACCATTGTGATGGAGAGATGGAGCCAGGAAGACACCAAGACTAGGAAGCTGAAGGTCAAGATTTTTTGGATAACCCATGGCAAGCTTAATAATTACATCCTTGGACCATGCTTCAACATCAGTTTCCAACAGCCTACAGTGTGGAGTAAAACCCACTAGACGGAAAAATAAGGCCAAATAAAAATAACAGAAGCGTGCCTAAGCTTCTCCTGCTTCATTTCTGTTCTCTAGGCCAAATTTTCCAGTAATATTTGCATTCCAGTCACCTATAAGCTTCTCTTGTTTTGGTGTGTGATCAATTTCATGTTTTGGTTTTGCATTCCAGTCACCTATAAGCATCTCTTGTTTTGGTGTGTGATCAATTTCAATCTCTTTTTTTACTTTTAATCTTTATTGCATTTAAAGAAATTATAAAAATAGGTAAATAATTATCACAATATTAGCACATAACCAAAGTAATTATTATCTTTCGCAAAGCAGTAAGTCTTTAACATTTTTACTTCCTTATTTTCCACCAGACATTTTCTTCAGTCTTAATAATACTTTCTTAATTCTTATTTTATATTCATATTAGCAATCCGGTTTACTTTGTTTTTACTTCTGTTAAGAGCAGTTCTGCTTCTAATTTAAGCCTAAATCACTTGGTACAGGTTTGGAATCTTACATTTCTCTTTGATATAATTCTTTACTTCCCCCCATTGAGATTTGTGCTCCGTTCTACTCTTTCCTTTCAATGAGTTTGTTAGTTTGTCCATTAATATTAGTTCCTGTAATTTTATTAAGCAACCCTCCACCAAAGTTTCCTCATCTTTCGATTGTTCTGCCATTTGAATTCTGATTGCGCCTAATATGCACAGTATAAACAAATGTTTGTCTCTTGTCTTGAGTTTAAGTTTACCATATTGAACAAATAAGTTTCAGGTTTCATCTCCATTTTATTTTTAAATCTATGGTGATTATTTGTTCTATTTTTTCCAAAATTTCTAATAAATTTACAACCCCACCACATATGATATAGTGTTCCTTTTATTGTCTTACATCTCCAACATTTATCTTCCTCATTTTTCTTCACCTTTGCCAATTTCTCTGGTGTCCTATACCATCTACAGTTTAATATAATTTTATTTCGAATCTGTACTTATTAATAGTTTTTGGTTTATCATTCTATGCTCTAAACCAATCCTCTGTTTGAACTGTTTTACCTAATTCCTGCATCCATTTTAATGTATTTTCTTTAATTTCTTCTCGTTCTGTATTTCTTTCCAATAATAGTTTATACAACTTTGCAATTTGGTGATTTTATTTGATCACTTTCAATGCTTGCATAAAACCTTTCAGTTTCATCTCCCTCAGTGTGCGTAGTTGGAGCATAGACTTAAGTGGTGGTTATCTTGATGGTTTTCCATGGAATCTGATGAATTGTTAACTGCTACCCAGCCCATTACTAGTTCTAGGCACCTCCAGTGCTTCCCCGCGATTCAAAGGTCTAGGGAAGTAAGGTTGTATGTCTGAAACATAATTCCATACCCACATAAAACCTCTCCCAGGGACTAAGTGGAGATGTTGGAAAGTAGGGGGAAACAAAAGAATCCTACAGAAAACGGCAAAATGGCCACAGGAGTTGAGCAACAGTGCAAGCTTCTGGATACATCTGTCAAGGTACAGCTGCACTTCCTCTTCTATCCTGTAGTTAGGAGGAAGCAGTGAGTGGCTTCTTCTTCTCTCCAACTCTTCAGGGCTCTGGTGCAAACTGCCTTCTTGCATGCCCTTATTAACAATTTACACCATTTCTGCTGCTTCCGGGAGAAATGGATATCCAAGAAGCAGCAGAAACTGATATCAGAAGTGCTGAAGGACTGTCCAATACAAAAGGCAACTGAATGATGGGATGTATTATATAAATGGCTCAGATCACCAGATAGTACTTGAATAATATAGATTAAAACTAGGATGTAAATGTAAGTTATAACCTGGAGAGCAATCATATAGTAGAAAAGCAGAAAGTCGAGTTGATATGGCAATATGAAGTAGGTTGGATGGCAGTACATTTTGTGTTCTCATCCCCTTACTTCCCCCCCCCCATATCCCCTCTTTACCTTCTGTATCCTCTACCTTATCCTAAATTGTTAATTTAAAAACTTTACACCATAACAATCTTAAAAGATCCACTGTCATCCACAACCTGGTGTTCCAGCAGTACTGGGCCGCAAATAAAGACAATCAGCTGGCAATATTTTGAGAGAACAGCCCAACATGCAAATTCTACCGTACACACCACTGAAGCTGCTGCCCTAAATCTCTCCGTACATTTAGTAAGAGGTCAGCAGAATTTCTACCTAGTGCATTTAAAATTCAGCGATCCTGGGAAAGCTCCAGCCATTTAAGATGTTTTATTCATGGTTATTATTACTAAATGCAACCATACGGTTCTTCTGCCATGGGATCTACTCTTCAATTGCCCAACTAATTCTTTGGTTAATCCACTCTGCATGAGAAATCTGCTGAGGTTCAAAGCAGATGCTTGGAAGTACCTGTGCAGAGAGGAAGAAGGCAAGAGCCCATAAGCTCATCTTTTATAAACTGTGTCCTTCCACTGGCACTGGCCTAATCCGCTCCAGAGCTGTGAGATGCTGTGCTTCAAGACTGATAAATTGGAAGGAAGGCAGGCAGCTCTTTGGATCAACTGCTTCTTTTCCTTAAGTGCAGGAAATGTCACCTATGTTTAGAGCAGGCAGAAGTTAAAACCAAACACAGGAGTTACAAATATATATAATTCAAGTCAAAAACAGGCATAAGAGGACTATTTTTATTATGAAAAGGAATACAAAGTTATTTTTGTATGTTTAATTAAAAATATTAAAATATGGCTTTTGCTATTTTACATGGCACAAATAGATACCCTGAAGTTCTCGATCCTGAGCCCGTCATTTAAATGTAGAATATCAAAGTACTTGTGGAGTCAAAGCCCACAATTTCCAGCTAACTCCAGTTTTCAGTTCCTGCTATCTCGTAGCACAAATGCAAGGGTCCTTATTCAATGCCTGTATTTTATTAATTGGAGAGCTTGGCATTTCCTACACACACACACACCCAACAACAAGCTGTTTGAAGCTCAAATACAAGAGATTCTCTTCTGCTTTACAGACCTTGCTTGGCCAGAATTAGGAAACCTACAAATATGAATGCTTATGCTTCAGAGCTAGCTAAGAGCTCCAAAATGAAGTTCCAAAGTGACTCCATGTACCATAACCTTAACTTCTTATATAAGAGAGAATATTTTCAAAGTTCTGAGTGGTATGGCGAAAGCAATAGGGGCCATTTCTCTCTTAATAGTAGAAACACAGACATCTATTTTCAAATTTGTATTTTAACTGTGGAAGAATTATATGGGAGGGGAAATTCTCTCTTAATAGTAGAAACACAGACATCTATTTTCAAATTTGTATTTTAACTGTGGAAGAATCATATGGGAGGGAAAAATGTACAACAATGAAAAAGGAAGACAATGGCCAGACGACTAGAAAAATATGGACATGAAATTGACACTCACATGGCCTGTTCGAATGAAATAAATTGGCAATAGGAACTGGGATTGCCAAGACAAAGAGGTTCTTCCTGGAGTACATAATTAAAGGATTTGCCTTCACCCAATGTGAAACTGACCCCTGGTTTATGAGGCTTCAAAGAGATATCACATAAACACGTGGAGGATAGGGCTGCCAATGGCAGATTGTAACTAATACTCAGAACTTGTATTTGTGTCCAGTCCCCTTTGAAACTCAACCAAGTTGGCAGCAATCACCAGGTCAATTTGTCAATGCTCACAATCCGGAATCCGTTGTTTGTCACTGTTATCTGTTATTACTTGAATAATAAATATTGTCAGAAAAAGGTAACTGATAATTCTGCAGATCTGCTGGCTACTGTTGATTCACAAAGAATTCTAGAGGTGCTTCACTGATATAGTTCAGACATAGAGAGAGAAACTTGTGATAACACTTAAGGGACAGGTAGAAGTCTTTTTTAAAAACCGTTTTCTCTTTGAAAATAATCTGAAAGTAAATTAAAAGTAGGCTTAGTGGTTATTTCTTTCAGAGCTTTTTAAGAACCCAGAGCTTCAAAAACACTAGAAGGATTATTTGAAAAATGTAAGAGAAGAGAAGAGACTTATAGGGTTAAAATGGCATTTTCCCTGTTCTAACAGGTTCTAAAAGAATACAATAGTTTCAAGATGGAAGTCAGACTAGATTTGCAGAAGAGACAACTTAGGAAGAGACTGACCCACTGCAAGCAGTGTATGTTCTAATGGTTATATGCACTCCCTACAAAATTGTAAGGGTGTCCAGAGGATAATATTTTCATAAGAATGATTACGATATTCTAAAATTATTCCTTGGCTAAAACTTCCATTTTGTACAATGCTGAGACTGTGATTCATGCAAATTAGGAAAAAAGGCTCTTAAAGTATGATTTTCAAAAAATCTCCATGTATCCAGGTTTAATCAGCCATGCTGTCCAGATCACTGCAGACACTATTGCTGGTCCAGAGAGCACCAGTGTTACAAGAACTAACATTCCTCTAACGATCCTAAGAAGTGTCACAGATAATAGCGAATTCGTTTTCCTTGTCTCCCATTTGTGGCATGGGAAATAGGAATTAAATCCATTCTGCAGATTGTTAAAGTGAACCATATAAAGCAAGTCCGTAATTTAAACACTTCCGTAATTTAAATTAGACTGTTTGGTTCTCCATTCTGAGCTTCTGAATATTTTCCACCACTGACCACACTGTTGTGAGAACAGTACAGTATGTATTAAGCAAGCACCATGTGTGCCATCAATTTCAAAAGAGGTAGTAAGACAGCATAGAAAGGAGAGCAGGGAAGCTCAGGTACTAAACGGAGTAGACTGGCCAATTCACCTGTAGCACAAAGAGAAGAGGAATGACCTAAAAGTCACCTTTTTCTCTATTTGGGCCACTCATAAACCAGGATGAATCTCCAAACTATACCCATCCAGACGCACACAACTGCCAGATTTGCATTGGGCCTTGAAAGTTGGGGATCCACCGCAGAGCGCCAAGAGCCATCTCTTCTGCTGCCAGCTACAATTCGTCACGCAGCTTGGGGGGGTGGTCCATGCCGAAAAAGGAGGACGGCCTCCCGTGCACATCACGCTCTCGTTTCACAAAGGCCGTAAAGGAGGAAACACAGTTTCCAATGAAATGGTCAGACTGACCAAGAATGTACAAATCGATCTGGGCTACTTCAGGTTGCAAATGCACCACTTTTATCTGAAATGAAAAACAGGCAGAGAGCATTGGTTGAAACTGACAAAGGACAGAAGCGGGCACAAATAGGCGGATAAGGGGGATGAGCGTTTCCCGACTCACTTTATTCCTCCATCTCTATCTGAACATATTCCAGCAGGTACCCAGAAGTCATCCCTGCAAGAATTCTCTGTTCTTGTTTAATTTTATTTGGTTCCATGGCCTACCACACAGTCTTCTTTTACACTTGCTCCTAGGTCAAGGTCACCTGAAATGCTTTTCAATCAAGGTTCACCTACATTTAATGCTGCACTACCATGAACTCTATCCAAAAGAACTCAACAGGAGAGAAAAGGAAAAGGGGAAGCTCATTCACTCCTATTCTGTATTGAAAAGACACACACAGTCAATTAATCCTATGGTATAAGGCTCATAACTATATTCTAAACAAACATTATATTCTTTTTTATTTCACCATAAGACAGCTTGTATACCATATCGGAATGGAAAGGCAGAATACGGATGGCTAAATAAATCTGCCTCTAGCTTTTGCATGGATAAGTCCTGATTAGTCCAGCCATGAGAGCACAGTACCTTTTGTTTGAAAAGCTGCTGTATTTCTTTGGTGTAGGGTTCAGAATCACTGGCAATGTACACAGCTTTTGCATCAATCCTCTTCACCCAGAGTTTGAGGGCTCGTTTGATCTCCTTCAGGTCTGGCAAACACATGTCCATGGTTAGGGGGGTGGCAGTATTCCGATCATAGCCCACACATTGTGGTGAAGCCATTAAGTGTGATCCAGCTGTGCCATCTTTCAACATATTGCAGGCATTCTTCTGTCAAGGGAAGAAAGGAAGGCATTACCACACACAGGTTAGGGAGTCAAGGGAAAGTCACATTCCCCATGCTGCAATTAGCCTTGGGGAAAAAGATCCTGCTGGTGCCAAGAGGAGCTGCCCCGCACACAGCTAACTGGGGGACCGGGGCAACTTAGCAGAACTGTGAAAGCAATGGGAGGGGCTCAATCTTCCCTTCTCCATGTTCTGCAGTGCCAGTGAAAATGCTACCCTGATGCTATTATTATTATTAAGTCCAAGTAATAGTTGTCAGCTAAGCATTTAATGCAACAGACAGCATGACTCCTAACTGCTGTGGGGAAGGAGAACTGAGAACAGCTAGACCAAGGCAGGCAGAAGACCAGGCGCTCCAGGCATGTCGCTGTAGCCGAACTGTCCAGTTCAACTACTTATACTTGGCTATCGATGGCTACTCCACATAATAGCTATGACACTCTGGAGTGCTTATCCTCCCAGAGTTGCTCTTGAAAGGTCTGGTAGCTACTTTAGTTAACTGCAATGCATTCTTCTATGGACAGGTCCCTAAAAAAATGTCCAGAAGCTACAGGCAGTGCAAAATGCAGCAGCCAGGCTGTTGTCTGTTACACACTTTAGTGGCCATATATCACTGGCCTGGAACCAACTGCATTGATTTCCTGTCTGGCACCAAGGCCAATCATGGTGCCAGTTTTCACTCATAAAACCTTAAACGGCTTTGGGTTAAGATATCTGAAAATTCACCTCCTCTCCTGTGACCCTATGCAGCGGCCTTATTAGGTGTCCCACCACCCTGAGACTGGGCTGGAGAGAACACCGGGCAGGAATTTCCTTGTAGCAATATCTTAATTATGGACCTCCCTCCTAAGAAAGTCACATCTTTGCTGAGCATCTGGTAGACAGTTAAAACTGCATTACTCTATCAGAACTCTGGTGTTGGAAACATGCTATTAAAGGATGTCCTGTTCCAATGGTGCTTCTGTATTTTACTGTATGTTGGCTTGAAAGCCTCATTGGCAAAAAAGCAATTCACATATTGTTTTAATACACAAATACACAAGTTAATAAGCATTACGTCTTGGACCAGAGGCAACATGTTTGTGAATTACTTGTTCCTGGGGAACAACAGCAGGAGAAGATCCCTTGGCTGTTTGTGAGTTTCCCACAGGTCTTTGGCTGGCAGGTCTTTGGCTGTGGAAGACGCTAACTAGACAGACCTTGGGTGTGACAACAAAAGACTCTTCTCATGTTCCTAATAGTCATTCTTCTATCTGCTTTATGTGAACAGGAACAGAAGTGCAAAACTCTTACTGCAGCTCTGTGCCTACGCCCTATACACATGGAAATCAACATAAAAATTATGGGAGCATCATACCCAGTCTGAACCCACACGCAAATGGATCCCAACATAGGGTCTGACCAGAAACGACTTAATATAGAACTCGCCCTTGTCCACCATTTCATCAGACCACACCATGTATCGATGCAGCGACCGATGCTCCTCCAAAACTGGGAACTGGGCTGGTGCACCAGGAAGGGCAATCACAGGATGTTCAGAGGATGGAAACCTAATAAGCAACACAACGGACAGGAAAAGAAGTATGGAAAGCATGCTTTCGCATCTTCACATACCAAAAAGAGGAGTATGCCCAACAAGCCTGAGCCAAGTCGAGGATAGAATTCGGTGGGATTGAGAGAAGAATTGTCCTGTGCCACAAGTGTTTACCAAGTAAAGCCGCTACAGAAAGTCAATGGCAGGCAAGACCGGGACTAAGGCCACAGTAGTAGCCCCACAGTCTGCATAATGTACCACATTTACACTATGAATGAAAGGGAAAGAAGTCTTCCCCTGCACAGTACCTGTGGCAAAGATCTATGACAACACTCTAGGTCTCTGATATCGTCATCTGCTTTTTTCCGGGGTCATAAAGTGGCCACTTAGGATGCAGATAAAGAGAATACCCAACACACATCTTTACTACATATCATTCCTTCCAAAAGAGAGTAAAAAAGGAAGTCCCGATCCAGATCTTGAAACAGGATATTATAAACCCAAATCGCCGCTAAGGGAGCTGAAGAAGTAGTCACAATATGCTAATTGGGTCAGTGTTGTTTGTTTTCACTGTTATTAGGTTTTCTGAGGACCCCAACACTAAACCATAACTTTCCTGGGAAAGAAAAACAAACAAACAAACAAACTACTGTTATTAGGTTTTCTGAGGACCCTAACTTTCCTGGGAAAGAAAAAAACAAACAAACAAAAAACAAAGCTTTGCTCAAAATATGTTTTTTAGTTAATGAACATGGGCCAAAATCCTGTTGCTTAGAGCAGTAAATTGCACTAGACTAGGCTCACTAATCAGTGATGGTTTGGCAATTCAACTCCTCTGTAAATTCCAGTGTTTCAAATGGGCCTAGTCTAACCGCATCTTACTGCGCTAAAGTAAGCTACAGTTAGAGTAGGCCCATTTGAATCAATGGAACGTACAGAGGAGTTCTCACCAAATCCCCAATGGTTCAATAGACCATTGGGGCATTAATGCAATTTATTATATTATGCAACAAGATTTTGGACACTGAATAATAACAAATCTAAACAAGGTGTAAATTATATTTTAATCATGATACTGCTTCATATGTGTTGTTATGATCTCTGGCTGATAGGAAAACTGCAGTTCTGAAGGCACCATCATTGCTTCCTAGCTGTTTGCACACCGGCATGTAGTGGGGTCTCCATCAGAGATAGTCCTAAAATGTGCCTTTGTGAAATTTATAAAGTTATGATCTTTGAAAAATCTGCAGACGAAAACAAGTCTTTGTTGATGTTGTTGCCTTTCCCTGTCATTCCAGGGGTGACAACCATGAAGGGGCAAACCAGCCGGTGGCAGCTGGTTTTCTAGGTTGCAGGTGGACAGAACTTTCCCAGTTCTACTACTCAAATGCCTGTCAATGGGAGCAGCCACAGGCTGGACCTCAACCCTCATTCAGAACTGACAGGTCTCAAAGTCAACCTAGGGATATAATGTATGTGAATGGAAAAAAGAACTCTGTATATGTTCAAGGCAATGTACTATGTAAGATACATATGTTACAGAATTGCTATAAACAATTGGAGGAGATTGACTGTGAATGACCAGGACTGTATAAAGGGCCAAGAGAAGCTGTATTTACCATGTATATATGGACTTTAATGTAAATAATACTTTCAACACTACAACAGTGTCTGTTTGGTTTCATCTCTGGGCAGTTCACTTCACCATTACGCCCCCTGGCGTAGTCTGGTAACGCAGCACCTCTGTCAAGAACCAAAAAAAAAAAAAAAAAAAGGCTGCCGCCAAGCTATGACCTCTTACCATGGATTCATCTGTCGTCTCATGGAAACAACAAGGTCTGTGACTTAAGGACTTACGGAATCTTTTAAATGTTTTCTTTCTTTTGCAGTTCTCTAACAATAATTCTGAAAAAAATAATATAAAAGGTGACACACACCCCTACTTGTACAAAAGCTTGTTTCCAAAAGTTAACAGGGAGTGGCACCTTTATTCATCACTGACCTCTTAAAGATTCAGTAACACACACATCAAATCCAATTTCAATTTGACTCTTCAATGAGTTAAAGAGATAATTAACAACCTAATTACCCATTCAAACATAAAGACGGGACATTTGTCCCTCTTTCTTTCAAGATCCTTTTATAAACTAGAGTAACCATGAAGGAACTTCTCTAGTGCCTACCCATGTGGTTCTCGCAAGGGTATCCCACAAGTGGCAATGGCTACCTTCGGATCCAGTGGTCCTTGTAAGAGGCACTGAAGGAAAGGCCTCCAAACAGCTCTGACCTGTCGAAATCCACATCAAACTGATCCCAAAAGGGCCCAAAAGGGTTTCCATCCTGAAAAAACGAAGACAGATGTTCACTTATTCCAACAGACAACAGGTGGAATGAGACAAAAGAACAGGAATCTCTGCAGAGAGGGGGGGGGAGCCAGAAGTTCCTTCCTAACTTATCTCACACCTCCTCCCCCCACAAAAAAACCCTGTATGCATTTCACCATAAACCAACTAAGGAGAGACAAGATGAGAGAAATGCTGGTGGGGTGGCAAAAACCCAGTGTCTCAGAGCCTTGTGGTGCAGTGGTTGAACTGCAGTACTGCAGTCACAGACTCTTCTCACAACCTGAGTTTGATCCTGAGAGACTCTTTTCACAACCTGAGTTTGATCCTGACAGGCTCAAGTATCCTGCTCAGGGCTGACTCAGCCTTCCATTCATTCAAGGCCTGTAAGCTTGCTGGTGGAGGCAGGGGCAATGTGTAGCCTGCCTAATTAAATTGTAAATGGCCCAGAGAGTGTTTTAAGTGCTACAGGGTGGCATACAAGCAGCACACTTTGCTTTCAGGGTACAGGGTAGTATACAAGCAGCACACTTTGCTTTTGCTTTGTGTAAAACACAGTGGTCCAAGAAGCTGTAACAGACGAGGGGGACTTGAAAGATTTTAGGACTCCCAGATAATCAGACATGTCAAAGATGAGAACTCCTACCTTCATAGGGCAAGTCCTTTTGTCAGTACTTCTCTGAGCCGCTGCTTCAAAGCAATAGGCCACTCTTTGGCCAGGTGGCCAGTGGACAGGGGCCAGCTTCTCCATGAACTCCTGCAAGGTGATGACACGGTGGTACTGCAGCAGAGGTGCAATCTTGAAGTATTCCTTGTATGGAACATGTAGCTACAATGAAAAAAATACTTCAGTCCACCATCCCACAAAAAGAAATGAAATACATGGCTGCATGATGACACTGAATCCACACCAGATCCAGATCAACAACAATGTACCTTCATAACTGAGTATTCAAAGCACTAGACTTGATGCGTATACATGACACCGAAAGAATACTAGGCATTCGAAAAGCACAGAACCCAAAAAGCCAAGAGCTACTCACATTTGTGAAAGGAGGCCTGTGATGGCGGTACTCAATCCAAGGAGGCAAAGCTAAGGTCCGATTCACCATCTTAGCAAATGCCAAAGATCCTAGAAAATGGTCTGCTTGGTTTCCAAATCTCCCTTGAAATAAAAATAAAGCACATTTCTCAGTCACCAGACCGTATCTGAAAACCAGACCCTGAGAAGTTTCATACAGGATAACACACAGCTGCCAATCTCAAACTGGTACACCTCTCCTTTCGCTATGTTGTCACATAGCTGAGAAATACAAGTCCAAGGCTTATAAAATAGTTCTTCCTCTGCCAACACTAGGTACATGAAAGCATTTCAACCCACACAAGTCTTCGGCAGTTACACTTCCACAGGATTCTGGAAATCAGCTTTTGGTATAGAGAACATCAGGTCAAAACAAAATTAAAAATAAAGAGGGCAAAAACACTGTGGCTCCTTAAAAGACTAACTGCTATATTTCAATGCGGGCTTTCATGGACAATCCACTTCCAATCATACCTCTTATGTGTGTCCATGAAAGCTTGTCACATTGAAATATAGCAGTTAGTCTTCAAGGTGTCACAATGTCTTTGGCCTTCTTTATTTTTTATTTCATTTTGGCCTGATAAGGTAACACAGACTAACAAAACCACCTCTTCTAAAAATTCTTCCTCTAAGAAAGCTCTTCTAAAGCTCGCATAGAGAAGAATCAGAGGGATTAAACAGCAAAAGAGTTTCCAAACAGCTGCTGGCAAATAAAAAACCATGTTCAGATAACCAAGGAGGGATGTTTTACAATACTTTTGAGTGTTTATGACACAGAACCCCATAAAGCGGTTGTCTGGCAAGGAAAGCTTCAGCGTGTTTGGATCTCTCTGACAAGTTGGCAAAAAAAGAGATCTCAAAGCAAGCAGCAGAGAAATCCACTGATCTGGAGGCTGAGACCTGACTCTTTTATAGCAAACAAGCTGTCTAGCTTTTTCCAAAGCTGTAGTAAAAATCACTGCACATGTCATTTCAATTGTTTCACCAAGGATTTTATCTTGTACAGTTCTGCCATGTTTTTAAGCAACGGCTTTGTCACTGTTTTATGTTTATATTGACAGTCTCAGAGCATCTCAGAAATGCATGAGAAAACACTTCTGAGTATTCTCTACCAGGAAAACCCTGGAAAGGGTCACTGTAACTGAAATGACTTGAAGGCATATGACTATTATGTTTATGATTATGTTTATGATTCAAGAACAGCCCCCAAATGGAGTATCTCCTGAACAGGCACGTCAAGGATTGCACTAGAAATATCTTCAAAAGTGCCATCACAACTTTCTGTTCCTGGGTATTATTTGTTTATTTAAAATACTCTTACCCAGTCTTTCTCCTTAAAAAAGACCCAAGCCGGCTTTCATCATTAAAAGACAACCGGAAGGCTTAAGACAGGGAATATAGAAACACTAAAAAGGGCCAAACAAATATCACACTGAAAAAAATGGTGAACAAAAGCGACACCAAAAACACAATTCAAAAATACTGGCATTTCATTTTTATTCCATCTGTCTGACGAAGTGGTCACATTGAAATATAACAGTCATTCTAGTTTAAGCTTTGCTTTTATGTCTTTTTTTTTTTGGGTCCTGTTTCTTCGGATTTGGTCTGATATACATTTAAAAGCAACAAGGAGACAGCCATCCTTTTTTAAAAAATAAAAACCACTCAGGCTGCCAGTCACACAGGGAAAGCTTGCCTGAAGAGGAAAACAAAAGGGAGGGAAGCCAGGAAGCCAATTTATTGATGATATTGAGTTAAGTATTTTTAAACCCACCCCACCCCAAACCTTCCTCCTCTTGAGGGCCCAACTCTGGGCACGGATTAAGCCTGGAAAAGGTCCTCCTTGTGGACTACAAATCCCCAAATTCTCCGCGCTTCCTGGGGAAATCCAGAGATTGGAAACCGTAACCGCGTTTACAGCAGCGACGCTTTCAGGAGCCACCAGGTGGTTGTCGTCTTTTTATTATTAGGATTATTCCGATTATTTTCCCTTGGGTTTCTTGGCGGGTCGGCTGGCCGGGCCGAAGAGAGGTCGCTTTCCCTCCCCTCCGTCGAAAGAAGGGGTGGGAAAGAGGCAGCCTTCGTCCTGGCTTTTCACTCAAAGCAAGCAGAAGGCTACACGTTTTCCATCCAGGCAGGAACCGAAACCCTCACACGGGGAGAAAAACAGGTTCGGGGGCAAAGCCGGAGGGCGGCGGCGGCGGGGGGGGGGGAAGGAGAAAGACAAAAAGTCCGCTGTTTCCCTCCCTCCCCACGTTCGTCGGCTGTGCAGCCCTTACAGGGAAACAACCAAAGGAGGGTAAGAAAATAAATAAATGCAAAGAGAAGAACCGGCGGAAAAGGCAAAAATTGGGCTGCCCCGACATTCCCCCGCCCAGGAAAAAAAAAGCAAAACCTCCCTCACCCATGCAAGGGCAATAGAGCAGGTATCCGGCGGGGTCCCAGCCGCTGTCCGTCCGCCCGCTGTCCGTGAGAAGCGCGACCAGGAGGAAGGGGAGGAGGAGAGACGGCAGCGAGGGCGATGCCATGCCGGGACCCGCCGGCTTCCCAGGAG